TGTCTTTCTAAAAAAAAAAGTGTCTCTGTTGACAGGTGTAAGTGTCTTTCTACAAACAGTGGTCACTGTAGACATGTGTCACATAACCTCTCTACAAACAATGGTCTCTGTTAACAGGTGTCATAGTGTCTTTCTGCAAACAGTGGTCTCTGTAGACAGGTGTCAGTGTCTTTCTACAAACAGTGGATTCTGTAGACAGGTGTCACATCACCTCTCTACAAACAGTGGTCTCTGTAAACAAGTGTCACAGTGTCTTTCTACAAACAGTGGTCTCTGTAAACAAGTGTCACAGTGTCTTTCTACAAACAATGGTCTCTGTAGACAGGTGTCACACCACCTCTCTACAAACAATGATCAACATTAACATATGGTTTCTGTGTTAATGGGCACAATATAATGTCCAATCTGACACCCAGTGAGGCAACAATACAGTGATCAGATTAACCTGTCCAATCTGACATCCAGTGAGGCAACAATACAGTGATCAGATTAACCTGTCCAATCTGACATCCAGTGAGGCAACAATACAGTGATCAGATTAACCTGTCCAATCTGACACCCAGTGAGGCAACAATACAGTGATCAGATTAACCTGTCCAATCTGACACCCAGTGAGGCAACAATACAGTGATCAGCTTAACCTGTCCAATCTGACACCCAGTGAGGCAACAATACAGTGATCAGATTAACCTGTCCAATCTGACATCAAGTGAGGCAACAATACAGTGATCAGATTAACCTGTCCAATCTGACATCAAGTGAGGCAACAATACAGTGATCAGATTAACCTGTCCAATCTGACACCCAGTGAGGCAACAATACAGTGATCAGCTTAACCTGTCCAATCTGACATCCAGTGAGGCAACAATACAGTGATCAGCTTAACCTGTCCAATCTGACACCCAGAGAGGCAACAATACAGTGATCAGATTAATCATCCAATCTGACAATCTGTGGGCAGAACACAGTGATCAGATTAACCTGTCCAATCTGACAATCTGTGGGCACAACACAGTGATCAGATTAACCTGTCCAATCTGACAATCTGTGGGCACAACACAGTGATCAGATTAATCATCCAATCTGACAATCTGTGGGCAGAACAGTGATCTGATTAACCTGTCCAATCTAGCAATCTTTGAGACACAGGTATACAGGTAATATTAGACTGGATAGGATGTCAGATAACACAGGTGTCAACTTAGAAAGCTTTATACTATGTTGATATTCAACCATTTTTCACCTTTTTTACATAATAATATAATAAAGTATCTCTCCACAGAGAAAAACTTCTTACCTTGATGTAGATTTTTGTTTTTGTGTACACATGTCATCACATAATTACATTATTCTACAGCACAATAAATAATCCAGGAATGTTCACATCCGGTGTCCAGCTGGCCAGAGATTGTGGCTAAGATAACTATCTAAAACATGATGCAATCCATGAAAACACAAGGAACGCTGATAACTTAAGACTTGTACAAACTTCTGGGACAGATGGAATCCTTTCTGAAGCAGTATATATACACTGTTACCAACACATGTTGATGTTATTGTACTCAATACTCATTTGTCCTATATATTTCTGTCACCATCCAAATCACAGCCTGGGACAGTATCACCAGGATTTATGATGAGATAGCTGCTGTGTCACTGTGTAGGAGGATGAACTTGGTATCACCCCTGAATCACAGCCTGGGACAGTATCACCAGGATTTATGATAAGATAGCTGCTGTGACACAGCCAAGGAGGATCTATTTAGCATCACAGCCTAGGATAGAAACTTCCATATTCATGATGAGCTTCTGTCTCACAATGTGTGTATGTGTGTGTTTTGGGGAACGGGGGATGTATTTGGTTTACTTCTGTCAGCGTCTTCACAATGTGTGTATGTGTGTGTTTTGGGGAACGGGGGATGTATTTGGTTTACTTCTGTCAGCGTCTTTATCCCAACCTGGGACATAAGACAAGGACTCGTAATGTCAGATTTTCAGATATAATGTTGCAAATCTATATTAAGATTGTTCCCTTATGTCTTAGCTCAGAATTCTCAGTTATATCTTATTCCTAGCCAAGATTGTCTCCCTTTGTTCCAGGTAAGAATTAAGAATTAAGAAGAAGTGTACATAATGTTTCATTATCCTAGTTTAGATAAAGGCCATGTTATGCTTCAGACACAAAAAGTTCATCAAAGGGCAATAACTACCAGTATGTAATTAAGGGGTTCAGGGCCCTAACATTTGTGCACTGCACATTGCTTCACACGATCAATGTATACACCTATAGTTTCATTATCCTAGCTTAAATGAAAGCAAAGATATGATTTAAAAGGTACAACTTTAACAAAGGGCAATAACTCTAAAATTGAAGGGTCAAGGCCCTCAAGGTACACTGCACATCATCTTATTATTTCCAATGTTTACACAATGTTTTGTGTTCCCTGCTTAAATGTAGGCAAAAATATGATCCATATACAAAGAGAGTGGTGGAAAAGCATTACATCAATGGAACTACAAGTAAATTATCGGAAAAGGTTTTTTTTGTGTCATAGACAGAAATAAGATTTATCTACAAACACGGTACAATTGTATGAGCCAGTCAAATACTTTTTGTAAATTTATACAGGAAATGTGTGAATGAATCAAGCTGTTAATATAGGTCATTATCAGCTGTTACTACGAACTCTTTATAAACATTTGAGTCCTAATGTTGTGTTCATTCAAACATGACAATCAAAAACCTCAAAATCAATCATGTACATGTATGAAAGCCTCAGGATAGAAAATGACCCACGATTATCCCATATCCACTCAGGTGTGACCTACCCTCTGATGAAACCAATCCTTATCTAACACACAGTAGTATCCTATTTACACTACCTAGGATCAACACAACACACCCACCATTAATCTAGAAAGAATTATAGTGTAATACTGAGGTGATACACTGATTTCTATCTAAGGAGCTTACCAAAAATAATTATACACTATATTGTACTGCTCTACCCTCCACATCCTTCACAATGTCAGCTCTTTTATCCAAAATATCAACAAGCAGAATACATCATCAATCCCCTTTTCAATATGGCAAATATAGATTGAAAAATCCATATGAAAAACATCCAAACAACTTTTGTTTTCCTTCCATCTTTTCAGAGATTATTGATTTTTTTTACAAAATTTAAAGTGAATCATGTTAATTTTTCTAACTTTTGAAGTTTTAAGTTTGAAACTATAAAATTATTGATTTAAAGTAATTTGACATTGAGCTTTTTTCTGTAATTCTGAAGTATCAGTTTATTACAGTGTGTTGGACATGCATATTTGAGTTGCTCTTTCAACAAATGTGAAATCATAAGCTTAAGGACAAAATCATTAATGGAATATTCATAACACTATATGCATCTCACAATAATAGATTTCTACTCATGCAACACTACATCAGTGACGTCAATTTCAGTATTGATATCAATCAACTTAATCTGCTTTACCTTTCCCACATGTTAGTTATCGATCAGAACCAAGTGGTCAAAGCATAGTTAGCTTGACAAAGCAAAACACAAAAACTTAAAAAGTGATGATTTTAATGAAATATATAAAAAATTTCATTTGATCAATTATTATTCTTATTATAATTATTTTTTTTGCACTTCTTTGTTTTTGAGTAGTAACTTTGAAAATTTGCATTTTTAGACATGTATTTCAATCTTTAGGGAAAAAAAAACAAGATTTTATGCCAAATGGATGATAAGTTTATAAGGCTATCAAGGTTTGGACCATGTGATCATTTGATCAAATCCCTGTTTATATTTGAATGCAAAAGCTGCTTTATTTTCCTTTTCTGATTGAAGACAGACTGTGAACATGCTGATATCAGCCTCTTTGTAAGTCACTTCCTGCTAAGTTCTGTCCTAGGTTCTTTCTTTATGACTTGAGGCCCGGACACGGCCTGTACACAACCTGTACTTTAAACCAGATGGGTAGGCTGGTCACGGAATGTTCATAATAAATTATAAAATCAACAGTATGACTGACAGGAAGGTATACATTCACATTCTCAGTTGCAGAAACACACAGGCTGGCAGTTATCAAAAAGAATAATTTTTTGCTGGGAATACACATTAGTTGGTCAACTGTGCACAGCCTGAATCTCAATGGACATGTAACTATGAACATTTTTACTTTACTTAAAATTAAAATTAAATAATTTTGATATGTCAGGGATGTTTTTCATATTCTCTTGATTATAAGCAATTTCCAAATTTATATTATAAATCTACAATATCGCATTGCACATGATCCATCAGTCAAACATGCACACAAATTAAATCTAGTATTATCTACTTTTTCTATTGTTTGAAAATTGTTCAAATATTGTGCATAAATCATACACACACATTGTATATCATCAACCATCCTACAAATGTACATGTATTTCTCTCTGTAGCCCTGAACAAGTGCTTCTCAATAGCATCAACATAGGCCCTGATACTGCACAATCACCATGTAACTAACACTTGCTGTAAAACTATCAATTTTAGATTTCTCCTAGTGCCTTTAAAGCCTCCGACACAAATACAGGCCCTCACACTGAACAAATACTATTCTTTGTGTTATCTAAAGGCCCTGAATAGGCATGCAGAAATACTTTCCCACATACAGGCTCGTACACTGTACATGCATAAAAAACTGTTCGCAAAGAAATTCCGTCTTGCTAGCTTTAAATATATTTTTATAAACATGGGTATCCTTCACCTTCATCAAGGGTCAAACTGTAACATTGTGTAAAATATACCGTGTTGCACTTTGTAATAAATAACTGACAGTGGCCTTGAGCCATCAGAGTGTTGGCATCAGACTGATGAACACTGCCATGACATGAAGAGACCTCTAGCATTATGCTGTGTCCTAGTTCAGCCAGAGACCCAACCTGGCCTTGTTATGTATCAGTTTGACCAAGGCCTAGGACTACCCTTACCAAAACCATGTACACTTACCTCTTCTTGTTGAACAAACAAAGTGAGGCAGTGATTCAAGAAGCAGGCTGTGTCACGAGATAAATCAGATATTCTCTTCACCTTCTGGTGGATGTCAACCATACCGCCTGTAAAAAAATCCAGTTTCAAAATTTATTGATGTAGTGACAGGAAAAGCATTTTGGATGAAGTGACCAACAACAACAACCACCACCGCCACCGTCACCGCCACCACCACCGCCACCACCACCGCCACCACCACCACCACCACCACCACCACCACCACCGCCACCGCCACCGCCACCGCCGCCGCCGCCGCCGCCGCCGCCGCCGCCACCACCACCACCACCACCACCACCACCACCACCACCACCACCACCACCACCACCACCACCACCACCACCACCACCACCACCACCATCACCACCACCACATTTTAACAATTTTTTGAACATGTAAATTTGTGGATTAAAAGGACCGACAAAATCAATAACAACAAATCCTCCACCCTTATTTATGATTCTATTATAAATCTGGACCTACCTTCTGTAAAAGTGACTGTTTTATCTTTCTCCATGGACCCCAGTAGGAGTGACAACTGGTTTGACTCCTTTTCTAGTAGTTGATGATGAGCTTGAGCCGTCTGTGAAAAAATTTTTTTTTCCTGAATTCAACCTCTTATTAACAAACTAAACTACAGCACGCAGGAACAAGAAACACTACCCAGAAAAAACCCATAAAACAAAAAAGTACAAGAAATATGTCATTTTCTTATCACATGGATTTAAAACAATACAAACCAAACTGTTTCCAAGATTATGATACATTATGATAGAAAAGTGTTCACAAGTTCAAAAATACCAATACAATTAATCATCAATTTTAAATAGTTGTAATTATTGATATATAATTTACTTTCAATGTGTCTTTGAGAGATCCAAGGGAGACAATTTCTCCCTCCGGTTGATCTTCTCCTTGGTGTATATAATGAGTGCTGTAGTTGATGTGTTCCTTCAGTGCATTCAGCCATTTCTGCAATGAAAAGACGGGTAAAATATTATCATTTATTCTAAACACAGCAATGAAATGCAGCTTGTTATTAGTTGATATGGGACCTTTCACAACATGACTTTATTTGTGATAATATGATGACTTTATCTGCGGAAGTATTGTGACTTTACCAGTGCCAGTATTGTGAATATACCTGTGTGAGTACACTGATTTTATCTGTGTGAGTACTGTGACTACCTGTGTGAGTACTGTGACTTTATCTGTATGAGTACAGTGACTTTATCTGTGTGAGTACAGTGACTTTATCTGTGTGAGTACAGTGACTTTACCTGTGTGAGTACTGTGACTTTATCTGTGTGAGTACAGTGACTTTATCTGTGTGAGTACAGTGACTTTATCTGTGTGAGTACAGCAACTTTATCTGTATGAGTACTGTGACTTTACCTGTGTGAGTACGGTGACTTTATCTGTGTGAGTACAGTGACTTTATCTGTGTGAATACTGTGACTTTATCTGTATGAGTACTATTACTTAATCTGTGTGAGTACTGTGACTTTATCTGTGTGAGTACTGTGACTTTATCTGTGTGAGTACTGTGACTTTATCTGTGTGAGTACTGTGACTTTATCTGTGTGAGTACTGTGACTTTATCTGTGTGAGTACAGTGACTTTATCTGTATGAGTACAGTGACTTTATCTGTGTGAGTACTGTGACTTTATCTGTGTGAGTACAGTGACTTTATCTGTGTGTTCTGTATGAGTACTGTGACTTTATCTGTGTGAGTACTGTGACTTTATCTGTGTGAGCACAGTGACTTTATCTGTGTGAGTACTGTGACTTTATCTGTGTGAGTACTGTGACTTTATCTGTGTGAGTACTGTGACTTTATCCGTGTGAGTACTGTGACATTATCTGTGTGAGTACAGTGACTTTACCAGTGTGAATACTGTGACTTTATCTGTGTGAGTACTGTGACTTTATCCGTGTGAGTACAGTGACTTTACCTGTGTGGGTACTGTGACTTTACCTGTGTGAGTACTGTGACTTTATCTGTGTGAGTACTGTGACTTTATCTGTGTGAGTACTGTGACTTTATCTGTGTGAGTACTGTGACTACCTGTGTGAGTACTGTGACTTTATCTGTGTGGATACAGTGACTACTTGTGTGAGTACTGTGACTTTACCTGTGTGAATACTGTGACTTTATCTGTATGAGTACTGTGACTTTATCTGTGTGAGTACTGTGACTTTATCTGTGTGAGTACTGTGACTTTACCTGTGTGGATACTGTGACTTTACTGTGACTTTACCTGTGTGAGTACTGTGACTTTATCTGTGTGAGTACTGTGACTTTATCTGTGTGAGTACTGTGACTTTATCTGTGTGAGTACTGTGACTTTACCAGTGTGAGTACTGTGACTTTATCTGTGTTGGTACGGTGACTACTTTTGTGAATACTGTGACTTTACCTGTGTGAATACTGTGACTTTATCTGTGTGAGCACAGTGACTTTATCTGTGTGATTACTGTGACTTTACTGTGTGTACTGTGACTTTATCTTATACTGTGACTTTATCTGTGTGAGTACTGTGACTTTATCTGTGTGAGTACTGTGACTTTATCTGTGTGAGTACTGTGACTTTATCTGTGTGAGTACTGTGACTTTATCTGTGTGAGTACTGTGACTTTATCTGTGTGAGTACTGTGACTTTATCTGTGTGAGTACTGTGACTTTATCTGTGAGTACTGTGACTTTATCTGTGTGAGTACTGTGACTTTATCTGTGTGAGTACTGTGACTTTACCAGTGTGAGTACTGTGACTTTATCTGTGTGAGTACTGTGACTTTATCCGTGTGAGTACTGTGACTTTATCTGTGTGAGTACTGTGACTTTATCTGTGTGAGTAGTGTGACTTTATCTGTGTGAGTACTGTGACTTTATCTGTGTGAGTACTGTGACTTTATCTGTGTGAGTACTGTGACTTTATCTGTGTGAGTACTGTGACTTTATCTGTGTGAGTACAGTGACTTTACCTGTGTGGGTACTGTGACTTTACGTGACTTTATCTGTGTGAGTACTGTGACTTTATCTGTGTGAGTACTGTGACATTATCTGTGTGAGTACAGTGACTTTACCTGTGTGAGTACTGTGAGTACTGTGACTTTACCTGTGTGAGTACTGTGACTTTATCTGTATGAGTACTGTGACTTTATCTGTGTGAGTACTGTGACTTTATCTGTGTGAGTACTGTGACTTTATCTGTGTGAGTACTGTGACTTTATCTGTGTGAGTACAGTGACTTTACCTGTGTGGGTACTGTGACTTTACCTGTATGAGTACTGTGACTTTATCTGTGTGAGTACTGTGACTTTATCTGTGTGAGTACAGTGTCTTTATCTGTGTGGGTACTGTGACTTTATCTGTGTGAGCACAGTGACTTTATCTGTGTGAGCACAGTGACTTTATCTGTGTGAGTACTGTGACTACCTGTGTGAGTACTGTGACTTTATCTGTGTGGGTACAGTGACTACTTGTGTGAGTACTGTGACTTTATCTGTGTGAGTACAGTGACTTTACCTGTGTGAGTACTGTGACTTTACCTGTATGAGTTCTGTGACTTTATCTGTGTGAGTACTGTGACTTTATCTGTGTGAGTACTGTGACTTTATCTGTGTGAGTACTGTGACTTTATCTGTGTGAGTACTGTGACTTTATCTGTGTGAGTACTGTGACTTTATCTGTGTGAGTTCAGTGACTTTATCTGTGTGAGTACTGTGACTTTATCTGTGTGAGTACTGTGACTTTATCTGTGTGAGTACTGTGACTTTATCTGTGTGAGTACTGTGACTTTATCTGTGTGAGTACTATGACTTAATCTGTGTGAGTACGGCAACTTTATCTGTATGAGTACGGTGACTTTATCTGTGTGGGTACAGTGACTACCTGTGTGAGTACTATGACTTTATCTGTATGAGTACTGTGACTTTACCTGTGTGAGTACAGTGACTTTATCTGTGTGAGTACTGTGACTTTATCTGTGTGAGTACTGTGACTTTATCTGTATGAGTACTGTGACTTTATCTGTGTGATTACTGTGACTTTATCTGTGTGAGCACAGTGACTTTATCTGTGTGGGTACAGTGACTACCTGTGTGAGTACTGTGACTTTACCTGTGTGAGTACTGTGACTTTATCTGTATGAGTATTGTGACTTTATCTGTGTGAGTACTGTAACTTTTCCTTGATGAATTCTGTAAGAGTGCCTTGCGTTTTTACCTGTCTGAGTATGGAAGCCTCCTCTCCCTGCTCAGTGCTAAAACAATGATTTGTGCCATCGGAGTAGTGGAGCAGAAATTCTGGGTGCTGTGCTAATTTTTCCTCTGTACTCACAAGAATCTTTGCTTCATCTAGATATTTCATACCTTTTCTTTTTACACCAGTACTTGCATCACCTCTGTTCAAAAAAACACAAACCAAAACATTTGAACTGAACTTTTTTTATTGTATCTACTATTGCAATTTTTTTTATTTATTTTTGCTTTTTTGCCAAGTCCAGTTAAAAATATTTCAGTATAAATTCTTTTTTCGTATCTGAGACTTTACTGAGTAAAACTATTATATGTCTCATTAACACGTTTCATCTCAAAAGATTCTGACTTACCTATTTCTAAAGTAGGACAACACGCCTCTCTCTAAAACAACCCAGACAGGCTTATATCCAAGGAAACGTGACTTCTGGTGAAGAAGAAAAATGTTATTATCTCATAAATATGACAATTCCCTGAGGACCCATGTTTTCTGAAACCTGTTTTCTGAAGGGACATGCCATACATGATATATTTGATACCAAATCAATCTAACATAATAATCGTACAGTTCCAGCTGTACAGAAATATCACTTTTATTACAATAAAGATGACCTCAGGAAGGCAATAAAAACAAATAAACTAATTCAGTTTTTCCACCTGAACTATTCAATAAAAAAAGGAACAAAACCAAAAGAAAAAAACAAACAAACAGACAAACAATAGAGACAAACAATAGAGACAACCAAACAGACAAACAATAGAGACAAACAAACAGATAAACAACAGAGACAAACAACAGAGACAAACAAACAGACAAACAACAGAGACAAACAAACAGACAAACAATAGAGACAAACAATAAGGACAAACAATAGAGACAAACAACAGAGACAAACAAACAGACAAACAACAAAGACAAACAAACAGACAAACAACAGAGACAAACAACAGAGACAAACAAACAGACAAACAACAGAGACAAACAAACAGACAAACAATAGAGACAAACAATAATGACAAACAATAGAGACAAACAAACAGACAACCAAACAGACAAACAACAGAGACAAACAAACAGACAAACAATAGAGACAAACAACAGAGACAAACAAAGAGACAAACAATAGAGACAAACAACAGAGACAAACAAACAGACAAACAACAAAGACAAACAAACAGACAAACAACAGAGACAAACAACAGAGACAAACAAACAGACAAACAACAGAGACAAACAAACAGACAAACAATAGAGACAAACAATAATGACAAACAATAGAGACAAACAAACAGACAACCAAACAGACAAACAACAGAGACAAACAAACAGACAAACAATAGAGACAAACAACAGAGACAAACAAACAGACAAACAACAGAGACAAACAACAGAGACAAACAAACAGACAAACAATAGAGACAAACAACAGAGACAAACAAACAGACAAACAATAGAGACAAACAAACAGACAAACAATAGAGACAAACAACAGAGATTGTACAGATTTTATGATGGAAATTTCTATTTTAATCTAGATTGACAGTCTGGTATTATGATATTACAATTTATTGCCAGTTGTCCTTAAAAACATCTTGATTTTACTTAATTTGAAATGCTTCCTAGAATCTCTATACATATTGTTGATGTAATCAGACTTTTTTGATACCAGGTTGTAAATGTAATCAGACATTTTAGATACCAGGTTGTAAATGTAATCAGACTTTTTGGATACCAGGTTGTAAATGTAATCAGACTTTTTGGATACCAGGTTGTAAATGTAATAAGACTTTTTGGATACCAGGATGCAAATGTAATCAGACTTTTTGGATACTAAGTTGTTGATGTAATCAGACTTTTTGGATACTAAGTTGTAAATGTAATCAGACTTTTTGGATACCAGGTTGTAAATGTAATCAGACATTTTGGAAACCAGGATGCAAATGTAATCAGACTTTTTGGATACCAGGTTGTAAATGTAATCAGACTTTTTGGATACTAAGTTGTAAATGTAATCAGACTTTTTGGATACTAAGTTGTAAATGTAATCAGACTTTTTGGATACTAAGTTGTAAATGTAATCAGACTTTTTGGATACTAAGTTGTAAATGTAATCAGACTTTTTGGATACTAAGTTGTAAATGTAATCAGACTTTTTGGATACCAGGTTGTAAATGTAATCAGACTTTTTGGATACCAGGTTGTAAATGTAATCAGACTTTTTGGATACTAAGTTGTAAATGTAATCAGACTTAAATGTAATCAGACTTTTTGGATACTAAGTTGTAAATGTAATCAGACTTTTTGGATACTAAGTTGTAAATGTAATCAGACTTTTTAGATACCAGGTTGTAAATGTAATCAGACTTTTTGGATACTAAGTTGTAAATGTAATCAGACTTTTTAGATACTAAGTTGTAAATGTAATCAGACTTTTTGGATACTAAGTTGTAAATGTAATCAGACTTTTTGGATACTAAGTTGTAAATGTAATCAGACTTTTTGGATACTAAGTTGTAAATGTAATCAGACTTTTTGGATACTAAGTTGTAAATGTAATCAGACTTTTTGGATACCAAGTTGTAAATGTAATCAGACTTTTTAGATACTAAGTTGTAAATGTAATCAGACTTTTTGGATACCAGGTTGTAAATGTAATCAGACTTTTTGGATACCAGGTTGTAAATGTAATCAGACTTTTTAGATACCAGGTTGTAAATGTAATCAGACTTTTTGGATACTAAGTTGTAAATGTAATCAGACTTTTTGGATACCAGGTTGTAAATGTAATCAGACTTTTTAGATACTAAGTTGTAAATGTAATCAGACTTTTTGGATACCAGGTTGTAAATGTAATCAGACTTTTTGGATACCAGGTTGTAAATGTAATCAGACTTTTTGGATACCAGGTTGTAAATGTAATCAGACTTTTTGGATACCAGGTTGTAAATGTAATCAGACTTTTTGGATACTAAGTTGTAAATGTAATCAGACTTTTTGGATACCAGGTTGTAAATGTAATCAGACTTTTTGGATACTAAGTTGTAAATGTAATCAGACTTTTTGGATACTAAGTTGTAAATGTAATCAGACTTTTTGAATACTAAGTTGTAAATGTAATCAGACTTTTTGGATACTAAGTTGTAAATGTAATCAGACTTTTTGGATACTAAGTTGTAAATGTAATCAGACTTTTTGGATGTAATCTAAGTTGTAAATGTAATCAGACTTTTTGGATACCAGGTTGTAAATGTAATCAGACTTTTTGGATACTAAGTTGTAAATGTAATCAGACTTTTTTACCAGGTTGTAAATGTAATCAGACTTTTTGGATACCAGTTGTAAATGTAATCAGACTTTTTGGATACCAGTTGTAAATGTAAAACTTTTTGTAATCAGACTTTTTGGATACCAGGTTGTAAATGTAATCAGACTTTTTAGATACTAAGTTGTAAATGTAATCAGACTTTTTAGATACTAAGTTGTAAATGTAATCAGACTTTTTGGATACTAAGTTGTAAATGTAATCAGACTTTTTGGATACCAGGTTGTAAATGTAATCAGACTTTTTAGATACTAAGTTGTAAATGTAATCAGACTTTTTGGATACTAAGTTGTAAATGTAATCAGACTTTTTGGATACTAAGTTGTAAATGTAATCAGACTTTTTGGATACTAAGTTGTAAATGTAATCAGACTTTTTGGATACTAAGTTGTAAATGTAATCAGACTTTTTGGATACTAAGTTGTAAATGTAATCAGACTTTTTGGATACCAGGTTGTAAATGTAATCAGACTTTTTGGATACCAGGTTGTAAATGTAATAAGACTTTTTGGATACCAGGTTGTAAATGTAATCAGACTTTTTGGATACTAAGTTGTAAATGTAATCAGACTTTTTGGATACCAGGTTGTAAATGTAATCAGACTTTTTGGATACTAAGTTGTAAATGTAATCAGACTTTTTGGATACTAAGTTGTAAATGTAATCAGACTTTTTGGATACCAGGTTGTAAATGTAATCAGACTTTTTGGATACTAAGTTGTAAATGTAATCAGACTTTTTGGATACTAAGTTGTAAATGTAATCAGACATTTGTAGATACCAGGTTGTAAATGTAATCAGACTTTTTGGATACCAGGTTGTAAATGTAATCAGACATTTTGGATACCAGGTTGTAAATGTAATCAGACTTTTTGGATACCAGGTTGTAAATGTAATCAGACTTTTTGGATACCAGGTTGTAAATGTAATCAGACTTTTTGGATACTAAGTTGTAAATGTAATCAGACTTTTTGGATACTAAGTTGTAAATGTAATCAGACTTTTTGGATACTAAGTTGTAAATGTAATCAGACTTTTTGGATACTAAGTTGTAAATGTAATCAGACTTTTTGGATACCAGGTTGTAAATGTAATCAGACTTTTTGGATACTAAGTTGTAAATGTAATCAGACTTTTTGGATACTAAGTTGTAAATGTAATCAGACTTTTTGGATACTAAGTTGTAAATGTAATCAGACTTTTTGGATACCAGGTTGTAAATGTAATCAGACTTTTTGGATACCAGGTTGTAAATGTAATCAGACTTTTTGGATACCAGGTTGTAAATGTAATCAGACTTTTTGGATACCAGGTTGTAAATGTAATCAGACTTTTTGGATACCAGGTTGTAAATGTAATCAGACTTTTTGGATACCAGGTTGTAAATGTAATCAGACTTTTTGGATACCAGGTTGTAAATGTAATCAGACTTTTTGGATACCAGGTTGTAAATGTAATCAGACTTTTTGGATACCAGGTTGTAAATGTAATCAGACATTTTGGAAACCAGGATGCAAATGTAATCAGACTTTTTGGATACCAGGTTGTAAATGTAATCAGACTTTTTGGATACCAGGTTGTAAATGTAATCAGACTTTTTGGATACCAGGTTGTAAATGTAATCAGACTTTTTGGATACTAAGTTGTAAATGTAATCAGACTTTTTGGATACTAAGTTGTAAATGTAATCAGACTTTTTGGATACTAAGTTGTAAATGTAATCAGACTTTTTGGATACCAGGTTGTAAATGTAATCAGACTTTTTGGATACTAAGTTGTAAATGTAATCAGACTTTTTGGATACCAGGTTGTAAATGTAATCAGACTTTTTGGATACCAGGATGCAAATGTAATCAGACTTTTTGGATACCAGGTTGTAAATGTAATCAGACTTTTTGGATACTAAGTTGTAAATGTAATCAGACTTTTTGGATACCAGGTTGTAAATGTAATCAGACTTTTTGGATACTAAGTTGTAAATGTAATCAGACTTTTTGGATACTAAGTTGTAAATGTAATCAGACTTTTTGGATACCAGGTTGTAAATGTAATCAGACTTTTTGGATACCAGGTTGTAAATGTAATCAGACTTTTTGGATACTAAGTTGTAAATGTAATCAGACTTTTTGGATACCAGGTTGTAAATGTAATCAGACTTTTTGGATACCAGGTTGTAAATGTAATCAGACTTTTTGGATACTAAGTTGTAAATGTAATCAGACTTTTTGGATACCAGGTTGTAAATGTAATCAGACTTTTTGGATACCAGGTTGTAAATGTAATCAGACTTTTTGGATACCAGGTTGTAAATGTAATCAGACTTTTTAGATACTAAGTTGTAAATGTAATCAGACTTTTTGGATACCAGGTTGTAAATGTAATCAGACTTTTTAGATACTAAGTTTTAAATGTAATCAGACGTTTTAGATACTAGGTTGTAAAATCAATCAAGTTGTCAGCATCAAGTGAAAAATGTCTTGAAATAACTCGAGATCCCAGAAGGATCTTGGTGCCCAGGATCGATTGATCTTTATTTGCTATTTGGATCTTTTCTCTTCTGTTTTTGCTCTTAATAATAAGACATTTAAACATATCTTTGCAGAAATAGCAGTGATAGTCTTTACCAGCCAAATCCAATATGGCCACCTGGAAGTCATTTTATTTCTTTTGATCAGTTCCAAAATCAAATGGGTACAAGGAGAGACCAAAGGAAACATACATATGAAATTAAAGAGATATCCATTTATTACTTTTTTAAGAAATAAGGATAACAATCTTTAGTACAACTTTAGGAGAAATCCAAAATGGCTGCCTGTTGGCCATTGTGTTTACCCAGAAACAAGTGGGCACAACTAGGGATCAAGGGGAACCTACATAAGAAACTTAAGAAGATCCATTCTGAGGTTCGAAAGAAATAGCAATAACGATCTTTCAAACTCAAAATCCAAGATGGCCGTCTGTCAGCCATTTTGTTTTTCTGATCAGTTCAAAAAATTACATGGATACAACTAGGGACCAAAAGGAAACTATAAATGAATTTCATGAAAGATCTAAACACCAGTTCTCAAGAAATTGTGATAACAAACTTGCAAAGTCAAAATCATATATGACCATCTGTGGGCATTTTGTTTTTCTGATCAAACCCAAACTCAAACAGGCACAACTAGGCACCAAAAGTATCTACATATGAAATTTAAGAAAAATACATCCTGTATTTCTGAAGAAATAGTGATAACAATCTTTCAAAGACAAAATCAAAGATGGCCACCTGTCGTCCATTTTGTTTTTTTGATCAGTCCCAAAATTATATGGTCACAACAAGAGACCACGGGGAATCTACACATGCGATTTGAGTTGTTTATGAAAGGAGGGACAGACAGACAGACAGGCGGATAGATGGACCATGGATCCAGGGCGATTTGATTATCCCTCAATTTAATGATGGTGGATAAAAACGTAAGTGTCTATTTCTAAATATTTGTCAGTGAACAATTACTGGGGTAAATTTAATTTCTAATTTTAACCTTTTTGAAATTATACAAAGCCAAATATTTACAATAAAGTCTAATTGGATTATCTATGCTTTATACACATGCTTTAAATGTGGCTCCCCAGTATTTGATACCTTTAGCAGCAGACCCTCACAGCGTTGTGGCTGAAAGGTGAATTCCTTCACTGGACGGACTCCTGTAAGTAACTGCCTCATCTGGTTGGTCCTTGCAAAGTCTATTGCTGTTTGGTCTGGCAGAGGAAAATTACACAATATAACTAATAAATTATGTTAATGATAACAGGAAAGTACAATCTGCATACTTCTGAGGTGATCATATGTGATTTATAACTGTTGTTTGTATATTTGTGCTTCACAACTTTCCTACCAAAAAAATTGTTGCCAGATTTACAGAATAAGGAGAAAAACTTCATTTCACATGAATTTGTACAAGTAAATAATTGATTTTTTCTTTCTTTTAAAGCGTCCTTGTTGTAAGCTTATTTCTGCAACAAAAATAATCCATATGATTAAAATTCGACTCAGAACCAAAAAATGAAATCAGAAATTAAAAGCTTATGAAAAACAATTATGCCTTAAGTAGTAGACAATTTACATTGCTATTATATAAATCTATTGATTAAATTAAATTTTTTTCTTCTAATTAAGGAATGGAAAAAAATTATCATAGTTGGTACAAAAATCATTGCGGGACCATATTTTTATTAAGAAAAATGAAACAAATGGAAAACATGTATTTATCTAGAGTAGTAAAAGTTTACATTTAACATAGGTCTCAAAAATAGCCGAAGTGATTAATTCACAAAACAATTAAAATTCTTAATTCGACCAAAAAAATTAGCATTACCGGCATATACAGACAGTGCCTATGTATGATACCACCAATATCACTACTGTTATCACAGGCACTGTAAATCCCTGTTAAGAATAGAGTGGAATTGTTCAACCAAAAAAATATTCCTTTATTGATCTGACAAACACACTTTGAACATAGCAGAAATGTTTGCACTATGTCATTGCCCTGTAATAAGCCCATCCCTGCAACTAGAAGTCAAAAGTAATGTATGTATGGGAATGGCACCTCATCAGGATAAGTAACTGTAGCACCTTTTAAATTTTTGATGGAGGAATCAACACTGTTTTGCAGGAGGAAGATGACCATGTCCCTCTGATCAGCTTGGGCAGCGATGTGAAGAGCAGTGTTACCATACTGGTCAGTTGTATTGATGTTAGGAGGCCTGTCACTCGCCAGCTGTAAAATAAAATATGCCTTCATAAGGATCTAGTGCAGGTCTGTATTATAACAAGCCATCTGAGTCACAATGCTTCCTGTAATATGTCGTAGAAATGATTTTGTTAAAAAAAGGAATACAACTTTAACTACACTGTACACATAATACGAACGTAAATTGTACAAAAACTGCTGTTCCAAGCTAAAGCTTCTAACCACGTTTGAATTAAAAAATTAAAATTACAAAATTAAATTTTCCGATATAAAATCTTCCATCAATGAACAGGTTTTATCTATTTTTGGCCCCGTCCATCAGCCCCTGGGGGTCAGCTGAGATCGTTATGTGCATCTCATCAAACTATCATCCTATACTAATAATTCTAACCAAGTTTGAACTATTTCTGAAAGAAAATAAAAAGATTATGCTATACAAAGAGACCCACTGTCCTGAACGGTTGACTGACTATAAAGACCTACATATGTAAGAGGCCAAATAGGCCTAAAAAATTGCTCAACTACTCTACAGCTTACATGTACAAAGAAGACATTGTTGGTTCATAAAAACATTTTCTTCGAACTTACATTTCTTAATATACACAAATGTCATTACTCCAAACCTATTGCTTGTTGAATTAAGTATTTTAAGATCTCAAATCATTTGACCCAAGAGGCCCTGAATGTAGGTCAAGGCCATTCATCCACTTATATTACATTAAAGAACCACTATCAACAGCCTTGACATTTAAATTATTGAGAATAAGTCTTTAAAAAGACAAAAGGTTGCTCATGTCAACAAAATTGGTAATCCTTCATCTCAGCATGCTACAGACCCAATACAAGAGGCCCAGAGAGCCTGTATCACTCACCTGGATCTTTATGACCAATAGTACAATATCTATGTATATGTTCCACAGTAGATGCTTAAAGCAATATGACAAATTACTCCATATGGGTTCTGTCCCTTAGTAGTCAGCCCCAGTTTACTGCAGGCCTATAAACACTGTATGGCAAATGGCATCAACTTAGAATTTCTTATTTCTATATGCTATAAATATGAAGAATCTTAAATCAAAATGGAGATCTTGCAATTCTTTTTCTGATCATGTTTTCTGTATTTTAATGCTGTGAATAGAACATAAGTAATTGGCTAACATGTAGTTTTTCACATTACTTAGCTCAAGCCTCCCAGACCTCCAGGGGGCTTGGCATAATCTATTTTTTGGAACAGTGTAACATCACTGTGAAAGGTCTTTCTAATTTATTCCAAATTATGCCAAGAAAACTCTGCACCAAATATATTCCTTTAATAAGTCATAGGAATGTTCTACATATTTGTATATAAGCCTTTGTGAAACTTTTACTGACCAAATATGATAGCCTGGTCAATCAGAAGTTGTTAATGATTTTACCAAATTTAACCCAAGTGACCATATATATTTTTTATGAGTCAAGCTATTTTTTCACACACTATGTTGGCACCATAGAGGGAACCTTTTGGCCAAATATTATAATTTTAGGCCTTTTGGTTAAGCAGAAGTTGTTCAAAGGTTTAATGCATTTGACCGTTGTGACCTTGAATAGAGGTCAAGTTCATTTCTTTTCTCAAATATTATCGGGCATCATTATGAACCTATTTTAGAATAATATCACTATCCTAGATGTTTTGACTATGGGTCAAGGTCATTTCTTTTTGTTTAAAAGTTTTATCACATTTGACCTCTGTGACCTGGGATATGGGTCAAGGTCATTTCTTTTTTCAAATTTTGTTGGGCTTCATCAAAGGAACCTTCCAGCCATATATAATGATTCTGGGCCTTCCAGTATTTTGAAGAAGTTGTTTAAAGGTTGTAACACATTTGGCCTCCGTGACCTGGAATATGGGCCAAGGTTATTTCTTTTTGCCAACTTACCCTTTAGCCATATATAATGATTCAAGGCCTTACAGTATTTTGGAAGAAGTTGTTTAAAGGTTTTAACACATTTCACCTCTGTGATCTGGAAAATGGGTCAAGTTTTTTTTTTTGTAAACTTTGTTGGACTTAATCAAAGGAACCTTCCAGCCATATATAATGATTCTAGACCTTCCGGTATTTTGAGAGAATTCGTTTAAATGTTTTTACATATTTGACCCCTGTGACCTTGAGGATTGGTCAAGATCATTTCTTTTTGCAAACTTTGTTGGGCTTCATCAAAGGAACCTTCCAGCCAAATATGATAACTCTACGCCTTTCGGTATTTCAGAAGAAGTTGTTTAAATGAAAAGATGGCAAATGCAGGACGGACGGATGGACGGACAAATGACGGACGCCATGCTATGGCATAAGCTCACTTGGCCTTTTGGACCAGGTGAGCTAATAAGTACTCTAAGCCTTTTGGTTATTTAGCAGAAGTTGTATAAAGATGTGAACATATTTGAAATGAGACCATGAAAATGGCCAAGCCAATAATACAAACACACTTGGTAGCCCTTCATCTCTGCATGCTACAGGCCAAATATCAGCACTGTTTGGTTATTGAGAAATCATTTAAAGAGTTTGATATATTTGACATCATAATATGAATAAATTTGGTAGCACTTCATTCTAGGACACTACTGGCTCAAAATCAAAATCCTGTACCATTTGTTTATTGAAAAAAAGTAATTTAAACTTATTTGATACCTGTGACCTTGAAGGTGGGTCAAGGTCAACAATATGAAAAAAATTCATCCCAGCATACAAATTGTCCAATATCAGCGGCCTAAGAAGTTGTTTAAAGATTTGAACACATTTGGATACTGTGACGTTGAAAGAAGGTCAAGGCCCAATATCAGCACAGGTGACCTAAATATTCCTTTCATGATTTGCAACAAATATGAAAAGGATTCAAACCACTGTTGATGTCATTTATTCAGAAGATATCATACTGATAGCTTAGAAAAGTATTGGTCAAATTCAACGACATCATTCATCAGAAAAGTATAAAAGTATTAATATATCATGACAAATTACCAGTTCCTGAACAGCATCCACATCACCCGACCGAGCAGCTGCCAGGAACTCTGTCTGACGTCTTAAACTCTCATGGCCCAAGGCAGCTAATAAATGTAGACAAACATCATTCAAATTTATGAAAGGTCAGGATTTTTTTCACTTTTATTTTTCCCATATGTTGACCTGATTCAGAGTATGAACATGTCAAATCATGAATAACAATCAGCTATTCTACATGTATTTACAGATTCTATGAAGACTAAACTAAACCTGCGGGATTTTCAAAATATTGATAAATTTAGAAATTGGTGTTTATTTAGAGTTATGAGATGCCACAAATTCAGTCATACATATGTAAAAAAATTCATTTCCATTTGTCCCTCTCCAAGCCTTAAAAACAATTATCTATTTTTTACTCTTTGTATTTTACATTCTTAATATGGTTTATCATAAATGTGTTACTTTGTTTCATTTATAAACCTTAAATTTGTTTTAAATTATACATACATGGATACTATTGTAGATCTTACATTTCATTGTATAATGAATTACAATACTGTAAACCACTTATATTTTGGGTGGAATTTATTTATATGCAAAAATGGTAAATTGTGAATTCAAATTCTTGATGATTATTTGTATGTGAAAACCTCCGGTTGGCATCTTTATTGATTCAGTAAACAAATATCTGAGTTTTTGAGATTCCATAAGTCTCTTAGTACAACATTCCTGGACTTAAAGTCATTTCTAGGTCAACTTTTGTGAAACCATAAATACGAAAATATGTCTGAAGAGGTAAGACTGAGAAGTAAAGCATTCGTAAAATTCAAATAATTTACAGTAAAAAATACAAGCAATCCTGGTATTCATGTCACACAATTTGCTGTCATGATCACATTGAGGATTTCTAGCTTCTATTTAATATGACTTCCAAACATGCTTTTTTCGGGATTTGGTGCCTGAGATTGTGAGTTCAAGGCCCGCACAAATGCAAATTTGTCTTCCTTCATCAATAATTATGTTACAATGTCAAAAAAAAAAATTTCTAACTTATTCATAATTGATAACAAAATTTACATGTACTGTTTCTAGTAAACTCAAAGAGAGGCATGTGCTAGTACATGTATCAGTCTAACCTACCCTCAAGGAGATCTTTGATTTCCTTTGTTTTACCAATCATCTCCGGTGTCTGACCCTCATCATTGATCTTCCCAACATCAGCTTTGAATTGTAACAGCAATGTCAGTGTTTCCTGTAAAGTTTGAAAACTTTGAACCTCAGAACTGTATCATTCCGAAAGTATCTGTCTATTAATAAGCCCAGGCCTGTTAATCATCCCACAAACATCTAAATCGGTATTATTGTTTCTATGAATTGTAGAATAAACATCAATGGTAATTTACATAATTGTGAGCTGTGAATTAAATATACCAGATTTAAACACAGGGCTTAGAGCCAACATCGTGGTACTAGGTGTAGATAGGGGTGTTCCTTATATCCCTTGCTTGGGTACCACCCGGTATGCAGGGCGATTTTAGGAGTAGGACTAACAACCCAAGTATCAACCCCAACAAGCTCAGGATAAGTTGGTAGTAGGTTTATTCAACTATGTGGGCTTCATCAGGACAATAAATGTGTGAAATTTTCCCCTAAAGTACTAAAAATGTGGGCACGTTACAATATGACGTACACAATAAGGGTCACATACGTGACCTTCCATGACCTTCAATAGTTTCCATAACAGTCAATACAGTTCATTGTATGTATTCTACATAAGTATATATCAAATGTTGTGCCTGTTGACCAATAAATTAGGAGTTTCTCAACAATAAATGGATTTATCAACGATTGCAATTACTGTTTCATAGTTCATAAAATTAAAAGATTCCTTCATCTATACACATGGTAGAAGCAGAGTTTGACCCTTGTTTGGACTAATTTATTGGTTAACGGGCACAATGTTTTGTATATACTGATGTAAAATTTTCCTGTTTTTTCTTTTGAGAATATTGTGGCCATAGAATTGCTAGATATAATGAAGTTTGGACTGGCTATGATTTCCTCACCATTCTGCCAGTAAACGCTGCCTTGTGCAGGGGAGTGTCACCGTTAGGGTTCACCACATTTACATCTGCACCATTCTTCAAAAATAAAAAAAAGTTTCAATTTTCAATTCAGTGCAAAAAGAATATACATTTGAGGGACTTCAAGATTACAAAATCCATTTTTATATATAACAGCTCTGAATTATAATTAATTCTCATAAAAATATAAAAACAAAAAAAAATCATATTTTTGCTAATCAAACATCAAGAAAACCATGCGTAAAGTTTCGGATCTAAAAATAAAATGAAGCCTTCTAAATACTAAAATAATTAAGTAACAAAAAAAAAAAAACTACAAAAATCAAATAACAGAACTGATGCCATCATTTTAACTGTTAACCCTTAAAAAACAACAATTCAAAAATCAAGTTTCTTAGAAATATGCTTTTTTACAGTAACAATGTACACATTGTATTACTTACCTCAAGTAATAGTTTTACCACACAAGTATGGCCAAAGTAAGTCGCTAAATGGAGGGCAGTCCAACCTCTATTGGCTTTGCTGTTTCCTTCAAGACAAAGTATTATCTTATCATTATCATTTTAAAACACGATGTGTTTATGAAACACTATGCCCCCGGTTGCAATAAAATTCTGAAATGGAACATTAAATCTGTACTGCATAAGGCATGTGCTAATTGCATGCACACTTTGTGAAACACCCATATCTTCATTGTGGCAACAATTTTTTATAACTTTCAAATGTAGGTCAAAGGTCACATGGTAAAACATTTTGGTACCACCAGAAAGGTCTTGTCACAAGAAACACACATGCCAAATATGAAAACCATACCTTGTATAATACAATAGTTATAACCGATGTTAAAATTTTTCAAATGCAGGTCAAAGGTCAAGGTCACAGGGTCAAACATTTTGGTATCATTGGAGAACTCTTGACACAAGGAAAACAAGGATCATTCGATTCTAAAAATTCCTATAAAAATATGTTATTTTTGAAGATCATGGTCATTATAAAAAAGATTAACTGCCTGTGTGATAAATTAAGGTAAAGTCATTATCAATATATAGATCAATTAGTTTGTATCATAAATCTAACATCAAAAGGTAAAATTCATTGAGGAATTTGGTTTATATTGATTTGTTTTTATCTAAAATTACTCATCACTCTCTATAATGTGTTATCTGATATAGTTTCACTATCATACAGGTAAACAAACATCTACTAAATTGTCTTTGTTATCAACACAGACCGGGTAACTTACTGCTACCATATTTACTCCCCTGTAAGCCTAGGGAACAAACACATTAACATCAGAGAATGGGCTGAACTATGTCCTGATGACAAACAAGAGGTACATAGGGTCTGTATCGCTTACCTGGATGTTAAAGCTAAGTAATGATATACATGCCTATAAATTTGGGTTTTTTTATTATTTCCAAATTACAGCTCAGTCACTTAACTACCTGATGGGACAAGACCTATGGCTAAATTCTTATATCATTACTGTCTTTCTCTTTTGATTCCCAGTAAGACTTTTTATGGTTATCAGGTTGGGATTTCAACTATATCAAAAATATGATATAATCCAGAAATCAAGTCCAGAGGGGTACAGATGGGGTCAGATCCCAGGGTTAAACCTTACATCCTGAATGTGTTTATCTCTTGATGTCCAGCATTTCTTTTTGTGGTTTAGGGTGGGGATCTCAACTGCTTCAACAATATAACCCAGAATCTAAGTTCCCATTGGTGTAGCCGGACCCCAGGGCCAAATCTTACATCCTGAATGTGTTTATCTCTTGATCCCCATCATTGCTAGACATGGTTATGGGGTAATCTCCATGGCTTCAATGATATAACTCATTCTCCCCCTTGAGCTTCTCTGTCTGCCAAAGGGGGCCAAGACTCACCATTTGTACAAAATTGATTCCCCTTCACCAAAACATGATTCAGACCAAGTGAGCTTATACCTGTACAATTAAGATCCAAGGATATTTCTCCATTAATTTGCTGTTTAACCAGTCGTTGAACAGCTTCCATGTCACCATTCCTAGCACTTAGCAACAACATATCCTCTTTAGAAACATCGTTTTCCTCTATATCTCCTTTAGCACTACCATACTCATCCTTTTTGTCAAGGGTTTCTTTTGTATTTTCTTCAACTTGCACCACATCACCATGGAAACCATTGTCGTCATTGTCAGAATGAAATATCTCAGAATCTGATTCTGCCATATTTAATTCTGTATGTGGTTATCTAGGTACCTGAAAGAGTGACTCAAAAATAAATTTGAATGATCAAGTAATCTTTTATACAAGTTGTAGTCTATATCTGGTCCTGTCTGTATCAGTTACCAATTTACCTTTATATGACCACACAATATTTGACAGTTACTACCAATGAAATTTCATGAACATGTATTTAATTGGGATATTGGACAATGAAGCATTTTTTCAATTAATCTGTTACTTGATTCATACAATTATCCAATTGGAGAAAAGTCTTGAATACTTCTCAAAATCTTGTGTACTGTAAGAAAATCAAAATATTGTTTACAAAAACAAATTCCTCTCATAGGGTCAACAAAGTTTCAAAGAACTTGAGGGTGGTGATTTTCAGAGAAGACTGAAATGCTGAAAATGGGGAATAACTCTTTTATATATGTTTATGAAAACACTGCAAAAAACATACCTCATATATATATATCATACTCAAATATCAACCACATACAGAATGTCAGAAATCAAAGTACAAAAGGTATCTCAGGGAGCAATAACAACAGGTGTCAGGCACTGGACCAGGCTTAACGACCTGTGAGTGACAGGTAGTGATGCACGCCTGATAACGGGAGGGGTGTGCACCTCAGTGTTGAAGCACTGTGGCAGAATATCGCTGGTATGAGTGATCATAACAGGTAGATGCTCTCTCCTGTCTGCCTCGCGTATTTGTAAGTAAACAAGATAAGAAACAATGTATAAGGTAGATCTAAGATGGAAGTTGATAACGAGTGCTCCTAGTTGCATGTGCCTTCATAATTAGATGCTCTATGAGTTTGATTATTATTGTCCAATAGGGACTGGGCTGAAATTAAGTGTTTGAGTATTATTTATAGTAAGACAATAGCTAGCAGAAGTGAGTCTGGGATCGAGTAGCTACAGAGGGTTGAGAGTTGGGAGTCGGACATGGAGACGGGCTGAGTCCCGTATGGGACCTGCTCCGCGGTGGAGCGGGCCCTGGCCAAGTTGGCCCAAGGACATTTGTATGGAACTCTTTGATATGGACGGGTAACCTATAGAACCTGAGGATGCTTCGGTATGTTGATTAGGAAATATCTTTTTGTAATTGAAATTAAGGCGAAGTACTAACTATGGAAAACCACTATACAATGAAATAAACGTTTCGGCCAACCCAAGTAAATACTGTGTTTAGTCATTGTGTTACATCAAACATCAAAAAACGATATATTTTGAATGTCATGTTTATGCTGTACATACCATACAAATATGCATTAAAACCTTGTTTCAGTACATGTTGATTGAAAATTAGTATGATGACTATGCTTTGTATTCACAAACTAATTAAGCTTACATGTACACAAACATGCACCGTACGTCCGATAGATCTAAGTTAATTACAAATTGATCTACATTACAGGGCAGATAAATAATATGTTCATATTCTACGTAAAACTGCATCACAGTATAAAGTTTAAGCACATACCGTCGATTTTCAGAAAGTGATCATCAAGTTTTCAGGCACTACTGCATCAACCACACAAACCGGAACCCTCGACTTGGTCGCCATGTTCATAACCCGTGACGATAAAAAAATCCAGAAAAAATATCCCTTATATATCTTTATCTGCCTGGATGTACTATGAACAACTTTTTTCACAGTTATCAGTGATGGTAGAGAATGTCATGACATTTCCCGTCTATCGCGATCTTGTTCCAAAAAAATCATTTAACTCCACTATTTACGCCTCTTTCCTCTGTTATGATACTTTCGTTAAGTACAAAACAGGAAATATACAAGGGAAATAACTCTATGATCATTTCCTACTTTCGTTTTCATCAGTTGGACGGACACGGATTTTTGCAGTACCTAACATGGTATCAACACGGACATAGAAAATATCATTGTAAGTCAGTGGTATAAATCTAGCTGATACTGTTAACAGTTTGATTGAAAATCTACAAGTATAGAAAGCCACATCTAGCATAGTTTTAAAAAAATAAATTTTATGAAAGGAGGCTTAGAGATAGTATTTTTGCGTCAAGAGTCCAGAAGTTTTATTTAAAGTCGCATATTACAAATAGAACAAACATTAGCACTGTAGTGCTATTCTTGCGACAAACATAGGTATAAGATTAACAATATCACAGTGCAGTTATATAAATACTATGTGCATAACAAGATCAATATCAGCATATCACAGTTAGTTTAGACCTAAAGAAACAGTTAAAAAATGGATTCTTGTACCTCGCACAGGATAACTAAATGCTGAAGTTAAGACACTATCAAAGTGTTATTTACATATATGCTAACATAGCAAAACATAAAAATTGACATAATATACACTAATATTGTGTGTATTAAAAGAAACAAGACAAGCAGACCCTAAAATTTGAAAGATAATAAGGATTATATAAAACAAATGACTAGGTATTTTAACAAAATTAACAATTGCTCTGTTATTTAAATGAACAAATCCTGGTGAAGGACTCAAAAGGGGAACAACTCACAGAGTAGCATGTGTACAGATAGTACAGGAACAGATCTCAGCATCCCAGGTGCGGAGCAGCCTCCGAAAAGAGTTGTAATTCTCGGCTAATCTCACCTGATTGGATAAGTTGTTCCAAACCGGGGAAGCTGTAAACCGGAAAGATCTTTTCCCATACGTGGAGATGTTCACCTTTGGAATCCTTGCCAGATTATCTTGACTAAGATTATAAAACATTTCTTTCCTCTCAATAAGTCCTTGTAAAATGGATGGGGACATGCCATTTAAAATCTTAAAAACCTCAGAGTCCATATACTTAATACATGTCACATGTAAAAAATCAAGTTTAAATTTTCTTGAAATATCAGAAACTGGAGATGTATAGTCATTTTCAATAAAACGAAGGGCACGTTCCTGCACTTTCTCCGTTTTCCTAATATTTGTAAGTGTACAGAAATGCCAGGCAAGGGAACAATAATTAAAATTTGACAATATAAAAGACTTAAAAATAGTAATTTCCTTTCTTGGTAAGATTATTCCTCAGTCTTTTTAAAACAGCAAGTTGTTTAGAAGCATTTCTGCAAAGGTGAGAAACATGAATATCAAATTTAAGAAGAAAGTCAATGTCAATACCTAATGATTTTACACTTTCTTGACATGATATCTCCAAACCTTTAATAAGAAAAGAATATACAGAGTTGCTGGTCTTCTTACCAAAACAAATCGCTTGGAATTTCTCTGGATTAGCTTTCATTCCATTAGAGATAAACCAGACAATAAGAACTTTGCTCTCGTTTTCTAAACAATCTTTCATATCTACAAAACTATCACATATCTTGGAGAGCATATTATCATCAGCTTAATTATACATACTGCATGAGTCTACAAAAGTAAAAATATCATTGATGAAAATATCAAAATTCAGAGGTCCAACTATAAACCCTTGGGGTACACCCTTCTTTATATTGGTCCAGTCACAGGCCCCAGTCTGACCTGCTGCTGTCTACCACTCAGGTAGCTGCTGATGAAGTCAACAGCTGACTTATCCAGACCATAAGCACACAGCTTTCCGAGCAGCAGGTTATGAGTTATGCAGATGAAAGCCTTGGACAGGTCCATCGGAATCCCACCAACATGTTGATGGCTGTCCAAGGCCCTTCTCCAATCCTCAAGGGATCGCAGTAAGACAGACTGGCACCCGTAACTGCTCCTGAAAGCACACAAGAAAGGGCTAAAAATGGGCTTAAAAGATTCACTAAGCTGGTAATTTATTATTCTTTTAAAAATTTTTGACAAGGATGTTAAAATACTTACTAGTCTAAAATTACATTTATCCATAGGATCATTCTCCTTAAAAATAGGTAATACCCGAGCTTTTTTCAGAGCATCAGGGAAGTGAGAAATAGAAGCACAATAATTCAAAAGTGATGTAATAACAGGTGTAAAAGCTTCTGTACCAGCTTTTAAAATCTTAGCTGTCATTCCATCAAAACCTGTAACTTTTTTCACTTGAAGTTCTGTGAATAATTTCTTAACATCTTTCTCCTTTACAGACTTAAAAAACAAAATCATCTCTAAAGTGATCTTGACAGAGAACACTTTGGATTTTGACAACACTGGGGTGGTCTGTAAAATCTGACACACCATGAAGATCTTTACCAATATCATCAGCAACAGTGGAGAAAAAAATATTAAAAACATCAGAAACTTCATTCTGACTAGAAACAATGTTGTTATTTTCTTCTAAAATAATTTTCTGGTCATTAAGATATTTGTTGGATAAAAAGGCTTTATAGTAGGCCAAAATCTTTGGAGGCTGGCCCCCCACCACATCGTTCTTGAAATTAAAGTCTTACAGACTGCCACCTGAGTTTTTATACATAATTTCTTTGCCTTCTGTAGGCTAATCCTAGTTAACAACTGTTCTCATACAGTTATACCTATTCCTTAGCATAGCTTTATTATAGGCAGTCCTTCTAAGATTACTATTAAAGAAAAGGAGGTTTATTTACGCTCCTTAACAGGTATATGGGCATCAACAACTTCTCTCATTAACGTATCATGAGCCTAGTAGATTTCCTCTGTATCATCAAAAATATAAGATACATGGAAAGGAACTTTAGATAATTCCGAGTTAAAAAACATCTGGTTCAAAATTTCTAAAACTTCAAAACTTACACTTACTCCTAGGTAAACACGTTGCTGTACCTCTTCTATCAGTTCCAATAAAATTGTGACAGTCACTTAGACCACAGTTAAAATTTATTGGTTTAAACCAAAGTCTAGGGCAGTTAGTGAGAATGACATCAACTAAAGAAGGCACACAACCCTTCATAAAACAAGCAGCTTCTGTAATTTTATTAGTGAGGTCAAAAAGATCACAGAAATCTAGAAGATGTTTGCCCTTACTTTCAGCAAGACCGTCAAAATTCAGATCTCCTCAAATCATAAAATTGTCGAATTTTGTGGAAATACGATCAGAAGATAAAGTATTGTCATTCATGGATGGGG